GGAGGCCGAGGGGCCAGCGCGAGAGGCCGTCCGCAGCTCCCCGCGGCCGCTCCATCGCCGAGTGCCGACGCTGACACCTGCCACCCGGCGCCCGCCCGCCCCCGCCGGCGCTGCGCCACACCCCCAGCCCGGCCTGGCGCTGCTTGGATACGCGCGGCCGGGCCTCTCCGCCCCCATAGGCTGGCCGCCTGTCCTTCTTCCCCGGCCAACTCCTCATTGGCTCGCGTCGCCTCCGGCTTCGGGGGTCCTGGATTCAGATGCCAAGATGCGGGGCTGATTGGTTGGAACGTGGCAGGGACGGCTGAGGTCATTCCCCTCCGTCGCGCCGCGTCTCCGCCGGCTCCCAGAGTTCGCCTGGGGGCTGTGCCCACCGCCCCGCGCGCCGGGGCGCCTTAGGAGACCCTCGAGTTGGGGCTGGGCCGCCTCCCTTCGTCACCCCGCAGAAAGACTCCTGAAATTCCTTTGGTGAAAACGGCGCCAGGAAAACTCCGGGAATCTCCGAACTCGCTCAGCTGGAAAAGGGGGCTTTGACTTAAACTGGTGCATCAGGTTTTTTGTTTTGTTATGTTAACCCTGCTAGCTGGAGCGCCTATTGTCTGAAGCAGCCGCCTTGCTGCCTAGGAGGTGAATGCGAAAATTCCATGGAGGCTGTTGGACCTCAGCATCCATGACCATGCAAAGTCTGAAGAAAAGTCTCTGCAACACGTTTGGCCTCACTGGTCTTCCTGGTCTGCAGGGAGGTAGGCCAGAAGCAGAACTACTTATTGGCTTCCCTGGACTTCTAAATGTAGGTAGCTTTGGCGTCAGGGGCAGGTAAACGGCAGAATTGCTCGATGCCTACTTTATGTCTTATTATTTCATAAAGGCACACTGATTTTTAACCAGAGTAGCCTTAATCCTACAGTGAGTGCATCACAACAGTTCCGTTCCAGACGATGATGTCTCTTAAATTGGTACCCCGCCTCCAGTTAGTAAATCCTACACTGCTCCCTGTACCGCAGAAGCTGCACTCACAACTTCTAGAACATGCAGTGCAGGTAAAACCAGTTAACTCCACCTCTTCCCAGCCTCACAAGTTTTTCTGTAGGAACTCAAAAAATCGAGTAAGATACAAAGCATACAAAATGTTATGCCCAAGTAAAGCAACTGGAAATTACTTTTAACTTCAGTAAAGAGACAGCAAAATGGTGCGGTGAACCCAACCCCAATATTTAAACCAAAATACTGGTTTTGTTAATTTACGAACAAAACGATTTACCTGTTTAGGTTCCCCCCTGCCCCCAACCAAAAAAACAAAAAAACAAAAAACAAAAAAAAAATCACACACACACAGTAAAAGTGAGAAGTGAAGTTCTGGTCGCTCTCTGAGCAGGATGGCAGTCCACGGAATCGTCCACCGGGTTCTGAGCTACTGGCAAGATGAAAATTGGTGAAATATTCCTTTTGGAAATGCCACATTATTTTTTAAAGTTTATTTTTCAATCCTTGCCAACTATGGAGCAGATCACAAGGTAGTCAGTTCCAGTGGCATGTGATTCGTTGGGGTGGGGGAAGAGGCGCTACAAAGGAATATTTCTTTGTTTGGGTGACAAAGATGAATGGTCTATTGTCTTAACTATCGGGAAAGAGGAACGCCAGCTCAACAGTGCCACCTCCTGGAGAAACTACCAGATACACTTTTTAGCTATTTGTTGCCATCAATGATGTCCATCTTTTTTTTTTTTTTTTTTTTTTTTTTTTTTTTTTTTAAGTTCAGGGAGTCTATGTAGCCCAGGTTGGCCTCAAACCCTTGATTCTCCTTCCTCAGCCTCCCAAGTGCTGGGACTACAAGCATATGCCACCACTTGCCGGCCCAACCTTCACTTTTTAATGTGTTGATTTCAGGTACATGCTTACAATATATATTTCCTCAAACTGCTGGAGACAAGGTAACTTGCATATGCACTGAAAAAATATTTTCTGCAGTGATAGGGATTAATTAAACCCAGGTTCTTGTGTATGGTGGGCAAGTGCTGTCCCACCAAGGAACAGGCTCATTCTCTCAAAATGTTTGAATCATTTAGTGTTTTCACCATTTCATTTTTGTCGAATAGACAATAAACAAAGTTGCACTGCCAGTTCTTTGTGAAATACTATACATACCTAAGAGCTTACTTTACTCAAAGGATGAAAATTGTAAACTTACTAAAAACTGTACTTTCTCAAACACATCTGTTGCAGAAAGATACACATAAACATACACACACATACATTTTTCTAGTAAGAGCATTTCTTAGACATGAGAAAACTTAACATTCTAAAGAAAATAAAGGTCTATCTTTGAACAACGCACATTATAATTATAGTAGGTACAACACTTACCGTTTTCTCACACTTACCGTTTTCCCAGTTATAAAGTACAGACACCCTGCTCTGGAAATGGGTAATGTAGGCTGAAGCTGAGAGCTAGACTAAGCACTTTCTCCTCAGTACTTTCCCTCTGCATAGAGATCTTGAGTGCTTGGGACCAAAGGTGTGCGCCACCATGCTTGACCTACAGAAAATATTGTGGCTGGGCCAGGCATGGTGGTGCACTCCTTTAATCCCAGCACCCAGGAGGCAAAGGTAGTCAGATCTCTGTGAGTTCAAGGCCAGCTTGGTCTACATAGTGAGTTCCAAGCCAGCTGGAGCTACAGGGAGACCCTGTCTCAAAAAGACAGACAGACAGACAGAGAGAGAGAGAGAGAGAGAGAGAGAGAGAGAGAGAGAGAGACACTGACTGATTCTTGGCAGGCCTACAGATACCAGTTTCATAGTTCTTTCTAATGGTATTTTCTATAGTTTAATAAGAGAGTGGTCAGAAGCTAAATGAATCTCACGTCAGTCATTAATAGTATTAAAATCAAAGTCTGTGAACACTGATAATACAGTGGAGTTGTTTTTGTTGTGTGGTATATATAGGCAAAATTTCTCCCTGTGTTCCCTGTCATTGCAGTTTTCAAATGTATAGAAGTACAAGTCACTTTTTCACTAGAGTCACACTATGAATTTTGTATGAATACGGCTACTCAAGAGTTACTGATTAGTATCAAGAGTAAAACTTCCTAATGAAGACAATATACAAAGCCCAGCTATTCTGGAATTATTAGTAAATTACAATCAGTTCATCATCCCTGCATATGGTCTACCCATTCTGTAGATAGGACTCTTCAAATCCTTGTGACATTTCTCTACTATTCAGGAGCTGGTGATGTAAAACCATAACAATCTGAGATCAAGTCCCAAGAAATTACTTTTCTATGACCACAGCCACATAGCCTTAGAATTTCTGGTAAGTAGTGATGCCTACTACCTACAACAAAATGACTGTATAATCTCAACCAATCATGACAGCAGCTTTAGTAGAGGAAGTTCACAGTACAGTTCAAAGTCTAATGTGACTTCTGAATTTTGCAAGTCTCTTTCTGATATGGCTTTGGTTCATCACTCACTGCCACTGAGATCAAGGCCATTCATTTTTATAGCTCTTCTTTCCAAACTACTGTCAAGACACATGAAGAGGTAACAGTACTATGGCTTATTCCAACTCATCAATGTTTGGGGAGATCTCTAAGACATCCTTTTGATGGTCAATGAACAATGTCTTCATATAAGAAAAAGTATAGATTTATCAAGACACACTTTCAGACTAAAATGGATCTTCAATGGTATTGACATCTACTAACCACTGGGAGGAGCTGGACTAGTTTGTATTCATTTTTCCACACCAAAGGATTCAGAGCTAGAGCTGACTGTGCTGCAGAGAACCACTGAAATAATTTTAGAACAGATATGATCACAGGGTGGAAATATTAATACCATGATCCTCTTTGTGAACATAAGCATTTCTTATTATAAGAGTACACACTAAGTCTGGGCATGGTGGTGTATGCCTTTAATCCCAGCACTTGGGAGGCAGAGGCAGGCAGATCACTGTGATGACCAGTGACCAGGCCAGTCTGGTCTACATAGTGAGTTCCAGGCCAACTAGGGGCTACAGGGAGATCCTGTCTCAAAAAGACAAAAAAAAAAAAAAAAAAAAAAAAAAAAAAAAAGTACAGACTACTGTACAACTAACAAATATTTTAAATTTTCTTTATTTCAGAATTGTTGTTATGTACAGACATCATAAAAAAACACATATATTGGAAATGTTCCAAGAAATAAGAGCTGGAAATAAAATTTAAGGGCAATTAGAACTGAAATTGTCCCAGAGAAGTTCTGAGAACAGCTCTTTCTTAAATGTCCTTGATCACCTCTTCTAGTTCTTCCTTTGTGAACATGTGGAAATTCTGACCAGGTTGCACTGTGGCGAGCTGCAAAGGAACAAAAAGGGTTAATAAGCTGGGCTGGGTTCCCTGCTGATGGCCCTAGCTGGGTCAGAAGTGCTGGTTTTGCAGCTGTTCATTAGGAACTGAGGGATTTGCTGTCCTGGGGATATCCTTTACAAGCAGCAGTCCCTAAAATAGCTCTGACTCCAAAATAAAAATTCTTATTGACCAATTTTTCTATTTTGAGGTTAATCCCCATGTTAACCAAACTGACATCATTGTTATTTCTTAAAGTTACTTCTGTTAAGGATCACAAAAGCAACAGCAAAGTACACAGAGTCTGCACATTTTTTTTTTTTTCCTGTTAGATTCCTTTAGAAAGATATTTAAAGTAGGGCCTTGCAAGATGGCTCAGCAGGGTGAAGATGCCTGCAATCTGAGTCCAATAACTCAAGTTCGGTTTCAGGAGCCTGCTGTGGCACAAGAGAACCACCACTGAAGGTTGTCCTCAGACCTCTACACACCTGTTGTGGTCTACGCAGCCACGTGTGTGTGCGTGCATGCATGCCTGCGTCTGTGTGTGTGGTGCTGGAAACTGAATTTAGGAGCTCACATACACTAGGCAAATGCCAAATGCTCTATCACTGAACTATATTCCCAGTCCCCCAACAATACATTTAAAACATATTTATACTCCAAGTTGAACTTGCTGTGACCTTGGACACTTAAGCCATTCTGTGCCTTTATTTCTTCACCTGTAAAATGAGGCGGATACCCATAGAGTAACTGTGAAGACTGAATGTTAATAATATATGCAAAGTGCTTAGGACATAATAAACAATTGTTAACTATCATTATTATTTTCTTTAAAATTGTCTTTGTGGGGCTGGAGAGATGGCTCAGTGGTTAAGAGCACTGGCTACTCTTCCAGAGGACCCAGGTTTGATGCCAGCACCAACATGGTAGCCAACAACCGTCTGTTAACTCCAGTTCCAGGGGAATACAATACCCTCTCTTCTGACCTCCACAGGCCATTGCACGACACGAGTGCACTTCATATATGCAGGCAATACACTCATACACATAAAATAAAAATATAAATAAATAAAAATATTAAAATTGTCTTTGTGGGAACCTAACAACAAAGGGCTAGCTATGAAGGAATTCCAGTAGCACTACAGCAGGGACTCATCGTGACTAAAGAGAGCAGTACCAAGCAGCAGAGAGCAGTCCAGAGTAAAACTGATTAACAACAAAACCAAACAGAGTAAAAAACACCAGGGGTGAAGAGAACCTCAATTTAACTAGAACCATCATCTCTGTTTATCACAAAATCCCAGGTTTTGGGGGTTGTGCTAATAGCTTTAGTGTCAACTTGACACACCTGGGTTGAGGGAGCCTCAATTGGGGAATTGCCTCTATTGACTGGCCTGTGTCCATGTCTGAGGGGCATCTTCTTGATTGTTGAGTGATGTGGGTGGTGCCACCCCTGGGCAGGTGGGCCTGTGGGGGGGCAGGGGCAGGGGCAGGGGAGCAAGCCAGTAAGCAGCATTCCTCTATGGCTTATGCTCTAGCTCCTGCCTCCACATTCCTGCCCTGAGATCCTACCTTGGGGTCCCGGATGAACTGTGACCTGGGAGATGTAAGCTAAATAAACCCTTTCCTCCCCAAGTTGGTATTGGTCAGAGTGTTTTGTCACAGCTATGGAGAAACAAACTAGGACAGGGGTAATCCTGCAAAATAGGTACCATTTCACATTTGCCTCAAGGTTTTTGTGCTTGTCTAAAACGTCATTTCATTTTGTTTTTATTTTAAAACTATACACATTAGGGTTTTTTTTTCCTGTGTGTGTGCATATGTGCAAGTGCACATATGCACATATGTATGTGGAGGCCAGAGGACAATTTTGGCCGTCACTCCTCGGGTGCTGTATACCTTGTTCTCTCACTGGCTGGGAACTCACAAGTAGGCTGGGCTGGCTAACTGGCCAGTGAGTCTCAAGGAGCTACCCGTCTCTGCTCCCAAGCACTGCGACACAGTTTCACACAGGGTCTGGAGATCAAAAGTAGGTCCTCTATAAACACTTTACCGACTGCACTATCTCCCCAACCCCACGCTACTGTATTTTAAAATAAGATCAATTTGATAGTTGTCAGACAAAATTAGCATAATCTAGTTATATGTTTATTATTCTCTCTCTCTTTTTTTTTTGGTCTTTTTGAGACAAGGTCTCCCTGTAGCCCCAGCTGTCCTGGAACAACTCACTATGTAGACCAGTCTGGCCTTGAACTCAGAGATCTACCTACCTCTGCCTCCCAAGTGCTGGGATTAAAGGCATGTGCTACCATGCCTGGCTTTATTATTCTCTCTTTTTGAAAAAAAAATATTTTATTATTTTTATTTTATGTGTATTGCGTGCATGTATGTGAGTACACCAGTGTCGTGCAATGCCGCGGAGGTCAGAAGAGGGCTTCAGATTCCCCTGGAACTGGAGTTAGGACGGTTCGTAGCCGCCATGTGGGTGCTAGGGATCGAACCTGGGTCCTCTGCAAGAGCAGTCAGTGCTCTTAACCACTGAGCCATCTCTCCAGCCCCTATTATTCTCTTTAAATAAATAAAATTCAGAAAAAGATATCTTAAGACGTCTGGAAAAAGATTAAAATAAATGCTCTCCTCTCAAAGTCTGTCTTGTAGATTCTCCCAAAACCTATATCCAATTGCACTAATTATCATAAGAACCTCAAATATATTTGCTATACATAAAAAACAATGTGCTCGAGACCATACAGCCCATGAGTTCTATTCCAAGGGGACTTGGATATAAATATTACTGTTATTTCTCTTAAGGATATAATAGCCATCCTTGATCAATGTCAGTGAGGACAGAGATATAACATCATAAACAGAAGACAGCCTATAGGATTGTTTTGCCAGGTCACTCATGTCCTAAGGATAATCCTCCCAAAAATTACAGGGGCCAAAAACAGAAACTGGGCAAACTCGAATAAAATAGTCCTACAGAACCCAGATGCAAATGAATACTAAGAGGATTTGAACCCAGTGCTGCCTCAGGAAGTTACTCATCACTACATGAATAAAAATAACTCATTACATTTGCATAATGATAAATGTATTTACATAATGAATATGAGATTTTCTATTATCTCGTTACTTTTATAAAACCGCTGTAAAGCAGGTAGAGCTCTTCTTCACTTATTACGTTAATAATTGATTTGTATACAGTACAGTTGTATTAGAGAGTAGGAATCCAAAGATGAACAAAGTCCCTGTCTTCACTTACTGAGGATGCTAGATGCCAAAGGCTTTCATTTATGTGCTATAATAATAGTGCTTAGTGTATGTAATGGAGAGGCCTTGGAGAACAGGAAGGCTTCAAGGAAGAGGAAACATTTATTTTTGTTGTTGCTGTTGTTGTTTTTCAGAGACAGGGTATCTCCCTGTAGCCCCAGCTGGCCTGGAAAATGCTATGCAGACCAGGATAGCCTCAATCTCATAGACATCTGCCTGCCTCAGCCTTCCAGATGCTGAGACTAAAGGTGAACGTCATCATGCCAGGGGAAGTTGAATATTAATGGGCCAGACAGTGAAGGCAGGGAAGAGCAGGCTAAAGGTAAAAATGCTTAAAACATGTAATGACATTTGCAGAACAAGGCGATTCTGTGAAGCTACATATGGAATGAAAGATGGGATGAGGGGATAGTGGCTCACATCTCACAGAGTGTATTAACTTAAAGTAGAGAATCCATCATTTCAAGCACTAGACAGGCTGAGGCAGGAGGACAGTGAATTGAGGCTAGCTTGAGCTACATAGAAAATTCCCTGACAGCCTGTGCTACCTACAAAAACTCTCACCAAACAAACGAACAACAACAACAAAAATCTGCACAGACCCTAAAAATCAGAACTAGGTACAAATCTTGACTCAGCCATTTACCAAGTGTTATTTTAGGCAAAGCTCTACATGCCGGGAAGCATCAACAAATGAGTTGCTTATAAGGTAGCAAAGACAAGATTTAGTGACAGTAAAGGAAGATCAAAGTCTCCCAGATTTCTCGTGTGAATGACAAGGGCACTAGCTGTTGGTGTTATCAACCAGAATTAGAAATACTGGAATGGGAAATGGTTTTCTGGAAAGATGATTTTAATTTTAGGACTATCAAATTTGAGGTGACTGCTTTAGAAAGGTCAAATGGCAGCTCCAAAAGCTGATCAGGAAATCCTGACAAATAGGATTTATCACAGCCAGGAACACTCTCACAGAACAACAAAGGGCTGAAATGAATGGTAATGACTAAGGAATAAGTAAGGAGGCAATATACCAAACACAGCTTCTGTTTGAAGACAACTTGATAATACAGTTTAAAAAACAGGCTGAAGGAATACCCTACAGCAATAAAATCTGATTCAGCCAGATGAATTTCAAAATTAAGACACAAAAGAGTACACATTATACGACCCCATTTACATCAAATTATAGAATGCAAAGTAAGCCTACAGTTATCAGTCATGGTTATAAGAGCAGAAGTCAGTGGCAGGGGAAGGGCTACAATTGGGCAGGAAGAAACCATTAGGAGGATGAAAATTTCTCTGTCTTGGCTGTGGTACCTTATATATGCTAGGCAAGCACTCTACATTGAGTCATCCCCACAGCTCAAGTTCTCTTTTAACACAAAGTTCTTTTCCATCTTTTGATCCTTGCATGCGATTTCCTTCTTCTGGAGTATCTTTCAGCTCCTTCTCCAGACATCACCTCTTCCAGGATGCTTCTTAATGTCCTACACTACAATCACATGGCAACCTGTTCTTACTGCTGTTACAGAAGGTCCACCCCAAGCTGATTATCGGTGTGTCCCTTCCACTGCACAGCATACTACTTCACTAGGAGTTGGACTTTCTGTATTCCTATCCCCAGCACCTCGCACAGTACCTACCATATATCACATTCTCAAAACAACACTGAATTCTTCCCACTGAAGCCAACTCCTTATCTGAATTATGTGTTCTCTTTTTTACAACTTTTCTATCACTAATTCTTTTTTTCTTCAGTGTTGCCTTCTGCTGACATTCACTCTTGAGAGAAGCACACTCTAGTTTTTTCTACCTTGTCACCCTCCTTCACCCTTCAACTCACTGAATTCTGGCTTCCACCATCACCAATTTACTAAAGCTGCTTATTATTCAAATGTTATCAATAACCTAAAAAACAAGCATGTAAGATCTGGCCTTCTTGATCTACTTTAATCTTCAACAACGAGTTATGATATCTGCAAAAACACAATAAAACAAAGGCAATACCTCTATGTTAGTTGCATTCAGCTTCTCCTCCATTACTTGTTTGAGGATGATGAGGGAAGACTTGATGGCTTCTTTCAGTGTCATAGACTTGAAACAAAGAATGAGATGAGCCATTAATTGTACATAGTCCCTTCCTTCAACTCTTTCCCCTTTATCTCTCTGAAGAAGACTTGCAAATATTAATATACCTATTTTAATTTGTGTAATGTAGTGTATCTGAAAATTCGAGTAAATGTAAGTTGAATACACTTACTCAGAGAAGTGTCGCACTTTCAAGCTACTTTCATATAGTAAACGATCTTTGAGAAAGGACAAAGGCTGTAAAACACTAGTGTTCATTTGAATTCCTTGATTAGGACAGTATAACCTGGGTGACATTCTATGAATAATGCCCAAATGACTTACCACATTTTTCTGTGTTTTGTTTTACAGCACTTGGCAGGTTATACTGTGTTATTTAAAGTTGAAAGTTTGTGGCAATCCTGTGTTGATCAAGCTTTCCGGTGACATTTTTCTAAAAGCACGAGGTCATTTTGTGTCTCTTGTTTCTGATTCTCACAAGACTTCGAACTTCATTACTGTCCTATCTGTTATGCTAGCTTTTTTCTTTTTGTGTGTGTGTTCATGTGTATGAAGGTGCATGTGGAGGTCAGAGGACAATGTCAGATGTCATTCCTCATACACTATTCACTTATTTTTTTGAGACTAGGTCTCTCACTGGCCTGGAGTTCACAAAGTAGCTAGGCAGGCTGGCCAGGGAGCCCCAGAGAGTCACTAGTTTCTGCCTCCTTAGTAGAATTTCAAGCTCATGCCACCGTGCTTGGCTTTTGAGGTTAAGATTTATTTTTATTTTTAAATTATGTATATGTGTATCTGTGTATAGGTATGTGCACATGAGTATAGATGCCCACAGAGGCCAGAAGAGGGCAGCAGATCCCTTGGAGCTGGAGTTACAGGTAGTTGTGAGTCACCTGATGTGGATACAGGGAACCAAACTTGGGTCTTATGCTATCTTACCTGCTGAGCTATTCTCCAGCTCCTCTGGCTTTCTCTTTTAATGTGGATTTAAAGCTCAAACTCAGGGCCTCATACTTACAAGGCAAACACTTTACTGACAGAGCTATCCTCACAACCCAGCAAGTCATCTTTGATGTTATCACTGTGAATGCTCTGGAGTGAGTGGCACAAACCACACCTACCTAAGATGATAACCTTAACTGTGTTCTGACTGCTCATCTCTTCTGGGGCTTCCTCATATTCCAAGACACAATAATTACTGAAATTAGGCCAATTAATAACTCTACAATGACCTATAAGGATTCAAGAGAAAGGAGGAATCATATTGTTTATCAAAAACTGAATAGGCTGAAAACTAGGCCTCTTGTGCCAGTTAAGCAGTAAATGAAGAACAACCTTTTCTAAAAAAGATTTGTTTTTGGGGGGTGTGTGTGTGTCTGTGTTTGTGTGTGTGTCTGTGTGACCATGAATATGTATGTGCAGGTACCCAGAAGAAGGAATCAGATCCCTTGGAACTGGAGTTACAAATGTTGTGAGTCACCTGACGTGGGTGCTAGGATCTCAACTCCAGTCCTCTGATAGAGCAGTAAGCTCCTAAGTGCTTAGCCCTTGCGCCAGCCCCAAGAAGAAAACCCCTGATGGAAACTGAAAGAGCTATTCCAGTGAATACATGAATGTTAAGGGCTGATATGGAGAAAGTTTCAGTGCTTTGGACAGATCAAGCTAGTCACGACACTCTCTTAAACCAAAGCACAATCCACAGCAAAGCCCTAACCTTCTGACTCTACAAAGGCTGAGAGGTAAAGAAGCTGCAGATGAAAAGTTGGGAACTAGCAGAAGTTGGCTTATAAGGTTTAAGAAAAAGAAGTCTTCATAACATAAACAGGAAAAGCAGCAAGTGCTCATACCAGGCTGTGGCATTTTCTTTTTTTTTTCAGTACTGGGGACTGAACCTATGGCCTCACATATGCTGTCTATGTAGTGTTCTACCAGGGAGCTCTATTTTCTCAGCCCCTTTTTCACTTTTTATTTTTGAGGCAGGGTTTTGCTAGGATAACCCAGGCTGGCCTTGAACTCACTTTATAATCCAGGCTGAGCTTGAATGTGTGATTCTCCAAGCTTCTTCCTCCAGAGTGCTGAGATTATAGGCCTGTGCTACCAGGCCTAGCAAACAGATTTTCACTATAGACAAAGCCTTATACTGGAAAAAGATACCACCTAGACTATCATAGCTAGAGAGAAGTCAATGCCTGACTTCAAAGCTTGAAACAAAAGGCTGGATCTCTTAGGATTTAACATAGCTTTAATGGTGACTTTAAGCCGAAGCCAATGCTCATTTACTTTTCTGAAAATCTTAAGGTCCTTAAGAATAAGACTACATCTACTCTCCTGTACTCTTAACATGGAACAAAGTCTTATTTACAAGGTTTACTGAATATTTAAGCTAACTACTGAGAGCTATTCTACTGTTGAGGGAAAAAAAAAATCCCTTTCAAAATATTGCTCACTGACAATGTTCTTGGTCATCCAAGAGCACAATGACAGTAATGTTTTCATGGCTACTAACACAATATCCATTCTGCAGTCCATGGATCAAGGAGCCATTTTGATCATCAACTCTTATGTACGAAATACCTTTTATGGGACTAGTTGCCTTAGACAATAACTTTCCTTGATAAATCTAGGCAAAATAAATTGAAAATCTAAAAAGGATTCAGCATTCTGGGTTCCATTAAAAACACTAGTGATCCATGGAAGAATGTCACAATAGCAACATAAAATAGAGCTTGGAAGAGGCTGATTCCAGCCTTCATGGATGACAGAAGGGTTCAAAGGCTCCAGTGGAAGAAGCCACTGATGATGTAGAAACAGCAAGGAATTAAAACTAGCAGTGGTGGCCAGAGATGTGATTTAATTGCTGTACCTCAGGATAAATTTTTATGGTTGAAGAGTTCTTATGGATGAGCAAATAGGTTTCTTGAGATGGAATTTAGTCCTGAAAAGCTGTTAACATTGTTGAAATAACAACAAAGAATGCAGGATACTACATATACTACATAAACTTAGTTGTTAAAGCACAAGAAAGATTAGCATACAGATTAATTTGGGGGGGGGTTTGAGACAGTCTGATTACATAGCTCTGACTGCCCTGGAACTCACAGAGATCTAACTGCCTCTTTTTCCTGGAGCTGGGATTAAGGACATGTGCCACCATACCCTGTCTGATTAAATTTCTGAAAGAAACTTCCATAGGTAAATGCTACGAACACCATAATATGCTACAATGAAATCTTCCCTGAAAGGAACAGTCAGCGGATGCTGCAGACTTCCTTATTGCCTTACTCTAAAAAGTTGCCACAGCTACCTCAACTTCAGCAACCACCACCCTGATCAGTCAGAACTATCAACATGGGGGCAAGATACTCCATTCCAAAAAGGGTGCAATTTGCTAAAGACTCAGATGATTAATAATGTTTTTGTTTTTTTTGTGACAGGGTCTCCCTGTAGCCCCAGGTGACCTGGAACTTGTTATATAGACCAGGCTAGCCTTGATCTCAGAGAGCTACCTGCCTCTGTCTCCCAAGTGCTGAGATTAAAGGTGTGCACCACCACTACCACACCTGGTCTGATTATTAGCACTTTTAGTAACACACAAAAAAAATTGTACATATGTCAATCTTTCGAAGACATAATGCGCATACTTAGTAAGTATAATGTAAACCTACTTTTTATGTATGCTTTTTATATGCTTGCTTTCAATATTCATTTAATTATAGTGGTCTAGAACCAAACCCAAAGTACCTCTGAAATATACCTATGCTAAGTGTTGATATGAGCAGAGATCCCTGTGTGACTCTCCTGAAGAGAAGCATGGCAGCCTTTAGTCACAGCCCTGAGTTACAAAAACCCCCAATCTTCCCATTCCAGAAAGAGTGCCAGAAAGAAAGAGGCATACTAGGCATTATCAACTAAGTGAAGTTGTAAGGATAGAGGACAAACATGTTGTGGTATATCCATACCACAGAACATAAGGTAGCAATAAAAGGAACTATCAATACAACATGGATGTATCTCAAAGACATTATCCCAGGGGCTGGTAACTCAAGTGGTACAGCCTGGGTTAGTAAATAAAGCCGTGGCTTCAATTCCAGCATGAAATTACAATAAAAATGACAAGCTCTATTACTCCTATTTATGAAAAGTGCAAGAATGACAAAATTCTATACTGGTAAATGTGGTTGCAAGTGAGAGGGAATACTGATAGCCTGTTCACTAGCAGTCAGAGTGTTCCATGCCTTGTTTTAAGCTGTGATGCTAAAAGAATACACAACTGTAAAACTAAGAATGCTTTATGTCTGTGGATTTGATTACACATTATACATTGACTTGAAAAATGATAATACAAGTTGTGAGAATGTTTAGTTACCTTGTGGTAAACTTCTTGCAAGGAGCTCTGGGCACCCTCTGAAGCAGAGCCAATTGCTCGAGCATCACACTGTACAAAGGTCCCAGATGGGTCCATGTGAAACCTGTAAAAATGGCCAAAGGAAAAGGATTTAAATGAGCAAGAGGAACAGGACACATTTTATGCAACAAATGCTTCACTAAAAATGCCTAAGGGCTTTACCCTGCAGTAGGACATGTCACTGAAATACTGAGGCACAGTTCCAAAAAGTATTTTGTTCTGAGGGTACAGACCTTTAAAAAATATATTTATTTTAAAATTTAATTTTACGGCGTAAGTAATTTATTTTATGTGTATGAATGTTTTGCCTGCATGTACGTAAGTGCACCACATGTGTACAATGACTACAGAAGCCAGAAGTGGGTGTCAGATGCCCTGCAACTGGTTATTAGCCGCCATGTGGGTGCTGGGAACTGTACCTGGGTCCTCTGCCAGGGCAGCCAGTGCACTCAGCCACTGAACCATCTCTTCAGCCCCCTAAAGGTTAATTCTTCATGGATCCCTAAATTCTATTGTTATAAACACAGAAACACTGAATTTTACAGTCAGAAGTCCTACATTTTCCTAATTATTATTTTTCTTTCTTTTCTTTTTTATTAAGATAGAGTGGCCCAGGCTGGCCTGAAACTCACTATGTAACCAAGGATGCACTTAAACTGATCCTCCTGTCTGCATTTTTCAAGAACTAGGAATATAAGCATGCATCACTACACTGGTTTTATGCAGTGCTAGGGATTTAGCATCCTAGACAAGCACCCTACTAAGTGAGCTTCGAGTCCCTTCCAATTCTTTGATAATCTCAGTTGACTTACTAGTCCCCATCACAAATTATAATAATTATCATGACCCCCCAAAAGCAGGGGAAAATGGCAAAATGGTACCACTTACAGCTGGGGTCCTTTCTCATCAACTCCTCCAAACAATAGTGCTACTCCAAAGGGACGAGACTAAAACCAAAAGGCAAAAGGTAGAAGTGGCCATGAATAAAGTGACAGAGAGGCTAGGAAAATATGTGTGGAGGACAAATGTCCTACATCCTAGAGAACAGCAAGCAAACAACACAAGCATCATACTCACCATGGCACCTGGATCTGCATCTTCTTCTCCAAACTGCAGAGCCAGATTGGACACAGCCTGGGTCACACTCTCCACCGTCATTGTTTCATTATAGGTGAACCAGTGGTTCTAGAAAAAGGGCAAAGAATGGAAACACTTCCTAGTAAGGGATGTCAAGCAGTCCATCACTTCTCTAACAAGTGTGGTTAGAAAATAAAGGCTCACATGCTCTGTTTTTGAGACAGAGTCTCGCTATATTGCCCAGGCAGACCTAGAACTTGCAATCCTCCCACCTCAGCCTCCTGGGCTGCTATACAGGTCTGCACCTGCCCAGCTCAAATGCTTTTTTCTTGATTAACACTAGCCACTGAGTACTCAGGACTGTATGAGAAGAGGAACAACTCTAATGTCCAGGCACTAAGTTGCATGCCTACAATCCCTGCACTCAGGAGGCTGAATTGAGGACTGTGAGTTCAGGGCCAGCCTGGGCTGTTCAGGAGGGGTGGGAGGCAGTGGAAGGAAAAAGAAGAGAAGAGGACAGATAAAAAGTCCATAAATGTGCACATGAACGAGCTCTGGAAAAAAGGATGGACTATACGCTGCGTCTCTTGAAAAATAGGTTCAAGTCCTAAAAGCAAAGCACCAAATTTAGTCTTTTCATAAAGTGAATGTTAGTGCTTACATTAAATTATTCTTATTTAAGTACTGAAAGCAAATTTGCAAGGAAGTGAAAAAAAATTTACCTGGTAATTATTTTTCTTACTAGCCTATTCTCTAGGTACTCAAGTTAAACAAACAAAACCCAGCATTCCTAACTAGTATTTCACAAGGCACAAATCATTACTTATTGGATGAGAACACTTTTATAAGCCTGGCAGGAAAGGCAGTTGCATGGAAATATCCTTTAACTATGATATTCCCATAGAAAATAAGGAAAAACAGTACAATGCATGCTTTATGGTAAAGTAAGATAAATCTAGAAGCAGCAGCAGACTGTCAGCTTTATTGGTCAAGGGCTTCGTTTAAGCTGCAATGGCTGAAGAGCTAATTTCTAAGTCTTAGAAGTTTTAACTGGAGACTACCCAAAATACTCCCAAGAGCCATGTCTACTGTTAGCAGACACCTGCAATGTAGCTCAGGCAGCTCTATCATCACTAAACAAGGTATTCGTGCATCACTGTAAAAAAGAGAGAAGAAGCGCCAGGCACGGTGGCGCACACCTTTAATCCCAGCACTTGGGGGAGGCAGAAGCAGGCGGATCTCTGTGAGTTCAAGGCCAGCCTGGTCTACATAGTTAGTTCTAGGACAGCTGGGGCTACAGGGAGACTCTGTCTCAAAAAGACCCCCCAAAAAAGAGAGAGAGAAGATGTTGATTTTTTACCTGTGTCTCTACTCTGGCTTTATCAATTAAAGTCTTAGCATCAGCAATTAGCCCGCTCATGGCGCAACCTGCAATGTAAAAGCAACAGTGAGCCAGCACAACCAAATCCTTCAGAACTTTTCATCCATCAGGAAATAACAAAAACCTGTAGTAGAACCATGGCAACAAGCTCATGGGCAATATACCCACCATATTAAATGGGAAATGATGAGCACTGAATATAAGTATAATGATGATACAAATAAAAAAACACCCATAATGACAATGAAGTCCAGATAGTAAGCTAGAATACAGAATACAGCAACAGCCAACCAAACATGAATTTCCATGTTTTATATCCTTAAACCCTTTAGCAACATTGTATGTTTTCTATTTGTTGAATGAAGGGACACTGATCTACCACCAAAAGACAGATGATCTGAGATCTTTAGAACACAATGTTCTAAATCTGTTTCCTTTAACTATGAGAATAACAAGCCCCCAGACTATGGTATTTGGTACTTATGCCTTTAAGCAATTATTTAGCAAACATTTTATTAATAAAGTTGAAGAAACAGATTAAGAGAACGTGATAGTTGACTAAGTAGAAGTACTGATGTTATAATGCAACTGTCAAAATCCAAAGGAAGAGAATTATACTGAAGACCAAAGAAAGGAGGGTAAGGGAAGACACAGAAAAGACAATAAATCTAAAAACAGAGGAAAAGAGCTGATCTGATCATTATTTTTTTTTATTATTTTATTTTATGTATATGAGTGTATTGCCTGCATGTATGTGAGTGCACCCGTGTCTTGCAATGCTGCAGAGATCAGAAGAGGGCTTCAGATTCCCCTGGAACTGGAGTTAAGGACGGTTTGTAGCTGCCATATGGGTGCTGGGAATCAAACCCGGGTTCTCTGCAAGAGCAGTCAGTGCTCTTAACTACTGAGCCATCTCTCCAGCCCCACGATCAACATTAGTCTTAAAAATTACACACTCCAAAGATCTTTGAGAATTACTCTTCTCAGTGGACACTAGCACACTACCTCAGCTCTTGGCAGCTTACCACCAAAGGTAGCATTACAAATCAATGAAGACACAGCCTTCATAGAGAACTTGTCTATGATTCAATGCATTTCAATATCATCACATTTGCCAAGGGCTGGGGTACAGTTCAATGGTAGAACACTTGCCTAGCATGTGAGGATGAAAGGAATTTCTCATAGTAAGCTAAGCCTAATTGAATCCTGTGACTGCTTTATGCTCCCGAAAGGTATGCACACTGACCTCCTGCTTGAAAATGATAGCTAATCAGTGAATAAGGCATTTACTACATGAAGTTCCCCTTGAACATCACAGAAGATCAGTTAACTCAGGCCAGATCCTACAGAGCAGCTTCCCTCATTACTGACCTATATGAGCATCGATCTCTACAATCTTTTCAATGCTGCTGGGCTCCATGAGTGGGGAGGTAATTCTCTTTTCCACTGCTAGGCATACACCTTCTGATGTCTGGATGCCAATGGCTGTAGAACCAAGCTAAAACAAAAGAAAGCACACACAAAAAAACATGTTATGGTGACCTATGTGCAGATCAAAGAAATCTATGTCCACCATCACAAGCAGAAGCTTCCATTATCCATACCTAGTACACAGAAAGAACAGGAAGTACAGTAATAAACACACTGTTCCTGCGATCAAAGGCATTTACAGAATTTTGTGCTTCTGAAAAGGAAATCCAGGGCTTGGGTAGAAGGGGAGAGTTCTGTGGTAGAGTGCTTGCCTAGCATATACAAGGTCATGGGTTTAACCCCCATCATCAAAATGGGGTTGGAGTGTTCAATAACTTTAATACTGAGGAAGAGGAATTTTAAAGTCCTAATCGTAGTATGCAAGAAAGTAATACAACCCTAATAGTTTTTTTCCTGAAACTGGTCACCTCTGCTCCCTGTATTAGTCTGTCCCAAAAGGTCATATTCCCCAAACTTATGTCATCTCCAGAAGAGAGGATAAAGGAGGAAGAACAAAATGACCACCATCCTCAATAACCACCTTAAAACACTAACTGGTCCCTTAGGCACAGCTCAACCCACTTGTTCAAGGTACAGGCAACACGTGTACCTTTCCTAAAGCTGTCTTCTCTGAAGATACTCTTCCTTCTGCCTCTCCAAGTTCTACCACTGTTTCCTAAAGCCTTCCAAGACCGTGCTTTCTTCCCTGAATTTCCATTGTACCTACTTAACTCTGTGAAGCAATGACTGCCAACTGGGAGCACCAGGCTCAATTAAGCCTGCCACTGTAACAACATCACGGAATTCCATGAATATTTTAATATTTATCTTATTTTTATGTATGTGTGTGTGTTGTATGTGGGTATGTGCATGTGCCCACAGAGGTCAGAGGTCAGAAGAGGGCATCAGATTCCCCAAAGCTGGAGTTACAGGTGACTGTGAGCCACTCGATGAGGATATTAAACTCAGGGCCTCTGCATAAGCAGTAAGCACTCTTTTGAAACAAATTTTATGTGTATGAGTGTTCTGCCTACATGTATGTAAATGCATCTGTGTCACACAATGCCTGAGGATGCCAGAAGAGGGCTTTGGATCCCCTAGAAGTGGAGTTAAGGATGGTTGTTAACTGCTATGTGGGTGCTGGGAACTGAACCAGGCCTTTTGCAAGAGAAGCCAATGCCCTGAACTTGTGAGCCAGCTCCCCAGCTCCCAGCAGCAAGCACTCTTAACTGCTGAGCCATTTTTCCAGTCCCTCCACACATCTTTCTACACAAAACATGTTTAATGTGTCTTCAGACTGAATTGTCACCTATAGCTGCTACTAACAAAATACCTGACAAGAGGAAGATTTTATTTTGGCTCACAGCTTGAGGGGGGACAGAGTCCATCACACCCAGGAAGGCATGATGACAGGAATGGGAGGCTGCTAGTCACACTACATCCACAGTCAGAAGAGAGACAAATGCTTGTGCTCAGCAAGCTTTCTTTCTACGAAGTGCAGGATCAAGGTCCATGGAATGGTGCAGCCAACATACAAGGCAGGCCTTCCTTCCTACCTCAATTAATCTTATCTGAAAAACCCTCAAAGACATGCCCAGAAGCTCTTCTCTCTTCAGTGATTCTAGAACCTGTCATCTGACAATCAGTATTAACTATCACATCATGTCTCATACATATACATTACTCTTCAAATGTATGACATTCTAACTTCATTTAGAAGTACTGTTAAATGCCAGCTTCTTATTTTATTTTGGTAAATTACTTGGTTTTTTGAGGCAGGGTTGCCCAGGCTAGCTTTACTCAGGATTGTCCTGCCCTAACCTCTCATTATCACTTTGTAAAAAAAAAAAAAAAAATCAAAGAATATCATTGAATGTGTAAGAGATGAATTGCCAAAAACTTTAATGTAAATAGTGAGTGTTCTTACTTCTAAGAATACAGACTGAACACGTATTAGCTCTACTTCCTCAAGCCTGTTAATATAAGACTAAAGAGCTTTTTAAAACAAATAAGCATAAATCCACTAAGATAATGGGAAAAAACTCAGCATTAAAATTCTGAAGCTTGAGGCTGGAGAGATGACTCAGTGGTTAAGAGCACTGTCTGCTCTCACAGAGGACCTTAGTTCAACTCCCAGCACCCACATAGTGGCTAACAACACTCTGTAACTCCAGTTCAACGGATCCAATGCCCTCTTCTGACCTCTGCAGGCATTGCACGACATGGGTGCACTTAGACACATGCAGGCAAAATACTCATACACACAAAATAAAAAAAATTAAAAAAAATCACACCTGTATTAAAAAAAAATTCTGACTCTCAAAAGATAGATTAGTGATAATCTGATTTTCATCAAAGGCCCCCTCCAGAAAGGAAATGATAACCATACCTCTGCAAATGAACGTGACAGAGGAGCTGAAAATTTCAAGACAGTTCAATGTCTTTTAAACAGGTTCCAGTTAAGTTTGGTGGTCCCTCCCTATAATCCCAGCTATTAAGGAGGATCAAAACCTAGGCTACATAGTCAAGCTTATACAATTTAGTGAGACTCTGTCTCAAACTAAAAAAATTAAAAGGGACTAAAGATGTAGCTCAATGGTAGGGTACTTGCCTAACACACCCAAGACCAGGAGACCACTCCTGAATAATGCCAAAAAATGAAAAATGAAACAGAACCCCAAGGCTCCCTCCCCTATTTTTTAAAGCTAGATGGCTGTTCCATATCTACTCATGCAGAAGACCCTGGCTTACTCTCTGAAAAGGATGAAAAAATGTTTAGACTGGGGACACCAAGTATAGTCAAAGGGTTGACTGAAAACCAAGTAAGTAAAAATATACAAACGTATGTTAGGAATCCTAGCCTTACTTCCCTGCTCAGATTTAAGAGGTCAGCATCCACAAACACTCTTCTTGCATGAAACAAGGCACTGTTCTCTAGAGCAGTGGTTTTTACTTTCTGGCAAAAATCCACACTCAGAAATGTATCATGACCATAACCCACAAAAAAATAAAACACATACTTTTTATCAAACAGAAATAAAATGTTTCATTTTTTAAAAAGTCAATACTATGGGTAATGAATTCTGATAGTCACTGTTCTATCCCATTTAGGAAAGAAACACTCAGTTTGGGTTTAGTGGCCCATGCCTGAAATCCCAGTACTAGGAATAAAAGCAGGAAGGTATTTAGTTCCAGGCAGCCTGGGCTACAGACCTCTTCTCAAAAGAAATCGAGGATGTAACTCAGTTGGTAGAGTGCTTCCTAGCATGCACAAGACTCTGGGTTCACTCTACAACACCACATAAATTGGATGTGGTGGTGCAATGTTTATAGTCCTAGTATCCAGGAAGTACAAGAAGTTGGTTCTCTCCTTCCACCATGTGGGACACAGGATTAAACTCAGGTCATGAAGCTTAAGAGACAGGCACCTTTACCTCGCTAGCTCCAGAATGAGCAGTTTTGTGAGCAAACATTCTGTCACTAAAACTCTAGTAGAGGTTACAAGGTAGATGCTGTTTGGAGATATGGAGGTGACTCAAGCACACAGAGAAAAGCTGGACTGCAACAGAAACTCCCAACTTTGTTAATAACTGGGGCCTAATGACTGAGCCTTATCCTAGAAAACCAAAATCAAATTTTTTTAGGTTGGGGGCCTGTATATATTTTTCTTTCTTTCTCCTAAGCATTCGTTTTCACTGCTATATTTAAAGATTATAGATATACATGTTTCCTGTTTTTCAGTAAGGTTTCTTCTTAAATATTAGAAGAATATTAAATACCAAATGACAAGTTATTTCAGCTACCCATAATTCAACAAATGCAATTCCAATATGATAACTAACTTCAGGTATAGACTTCTTTTTAATTTTTAGAATACTGGTTTGAAGTATGTATTTGACGTGTGTGTATGTGCGTGTGCTGCTGGAGACTACATGCAAGGCAAGCACTCAACCAACTCCCAGCCCTATGCATCTGATTTTGTTACTAGATTACAGGACAAATTTCTTTTCAGTTCCTACAAATTTATGATTTTATCAACAGGATTTACAGAGATGAACAGTTATATGATTTGCTCAAGACAACAAAATATAAAAAGGAATGAATACAGGGGACTGGGGAAGTAGCTCAGTTGATAAAGTGCTTGCAGCTCAAGCAACAGAACCTGACTACCAGACCCAGAGCCAGTGCAGTGGCACACACCTGTTGTAATCCTAGCACTGGGGAGGCAGAGACAGGAAAATCCCTGCCCAGCTAGTCTAGCCGAACCAGTGAGTTCCAGTCAATGAGAGACCCTGACTCAAAATATCAGGCGGAGAGTGACTGAGGATGCACACTGTCAACCTTTGACCTCCACATGCCTGCATACACGTATACAAACATGTATGAAAACAGACACACACACACAAATACAGGGCTAACTCTGGAATTCTACACCCCTCTTTATAGCCAAGAAGATTAGAAACAAAAGCACATCCCTCCATTTTCATGGAAACAAAGCTACTTATACAATTACGAAGCATCTATCTGTTCAAAAAGTCTTAAAATAGACTTCAGGAATAGTATTAAAATTGTTATAAAAATAGTGGCTGGTTAAAGAGATATGAGAATGTTTTCTAAAATAATTCTAAAACACATTTATTCCAAATGTTCTTCTGGTAAAGTGTGGGGGCTGTTAGGAGGCTTCAAAGTTTCTACTACTTGCTACCGTACCTTGATAGCCTCAATGGCATACTCCACTTGAAATAATCTTCCTTCTGGAGAAAAAGTATTCACACCCCTGTAATTTAAAAAAAAAGTATTAAAAACTGTCCAAGCAGTAAGTCATACATATCAGAACCAAGTTCCTGGACACCCAGCTCAGCTGACTGCAGGACATGTAGGCTGCCATGACTCTCTGGTTTTCTGGTACACCAACAGCCCCACTCCTAGTCTTAACAAACTGATAAACGAAAGCAGGTAATCTGAATCAACCTGGACAAATTCTGAATCAATTTACCAATTCCTTTGATAAACTCATGACCCCAAACTATGAGGCCATTTCCAAGAAAATGTCACTTTTTTTCTTTTCCTTTTTCTCATTATGTACCTTTGAGGTCAAGCTCTTATTTTTAAATCAAAGTCAGCTACAAGTATATTTCTGTACTTATTTGTATGAGAGTATTGTTATATTAACAATAGACTGAGGTCCATCTAGTTACTAAAGCCTAATCTATCTAGTTAGCTCACTCAATAGATATTTATGCCAATTACATGCTAGACTGCTTTTCTCTCTAAAACATGCTCCCCTCTATTTTGCACCAGTGTGTTGGTAATCCCCATGGAGAAGACACACCAAACAGGGTTAGCTACAGAAGTTTTCAGTACACAGTTACGCTTAAAAATATTTCAATGAATAAAAATGACTGCAACCCTTAAGTTTATGAAGTTTAGATGTTACAAGATGCACACAACACAATGTTTTCAAATTTTGCTTAACCAAAACTTTTTAAAAAGGAGTTTCTATGTGTACAAGTGTGTGTATAAATAACTGTCTATCACAGATACTACTCAGCATCAACCTCTGGCCTATACATACACTCATATACTTGAATACACACACACACACACACACACGCACACACACACACACACACACACACACACAGAGATACGGGTGCTAATTCTGCACCATATAGATCTAAAAACTGTAATAGATGTTATACTTATAGACACACACACACACAAATATGAGTGCTAATTCTGCACCATATAGATCAAAAAACTGTAACAAATAATACTAAAGTCTGCATGTACAGGTTATTAACTATATGTCTGGTGTTGTCATAAGCCTTTAAATGTTTTACTTTAATCCTCAAAACCACCCTATGTAATATTCTAACATAAATATCATTTTACAGACAAGGCGGCTGAAACATAGGAAGATCAAATAAGTTCCTCAAAGCTACTCAAAATAGAAGAGGCAAAACTGAAATTAGAATTTAGGAAATCTGATTTGTACACGGGCTGGAGAGATGGTTCAGAGTTTAAGAGTGATTGCTCCTCTTCCAGAGCACCTGAGTTAGGCTCCCAGCACCCACATCAGGCAACTCACAACCACCTGTAATCCAGTTCCATGGTATCTGATATATTCTGACCTCCACAGGCACCAACACACATACTGACATTCAGTCACAAAGACATACACATATACATGTGAATAAAAATATTTTTTAAAAGAATGTTTAACCTTTGGAAATCTGAGTACTGTGACCAAGCTTTAACTATTCCACTATACTATCTTCTGAGAACTGTTCTGACTTGAGGGGGTGGAGAGAGACTCTTACCCTCCAGGTTCCCATTTGCTCCTCAGGTAATAATTACTAAAACCATTTAAAAGGAAGTTCAGGACTCTAAAGAACAGTTTAAAAAAAAAAAAAAAATCACTGAAAGAAAAATCTTGAGTTCAAAAGACCTAGGATGGAGCGGGAGACATAGTTCAGCAGTAGAACACTCGCCCAGGATGTGTGAAGCCCTGGGTTCAAATCCCAGTACCACAACACACACTCCCACACCTCCCCACCACACACACCCCGGAAGTGAGATCTAGTTTCACCCACCACTAACTTTAACTTCCTCAAGAAAAATAATAAATTGTCCTGCCTTTGTTAAAACCGTTAACTACAGAGAAATGGAAGAACTCTGCAAATTTTATGTAGTTGCAATTTTTTCTCACCCTAATTTACAATCTTCATCCTGTGAGACATTATTTCATTCTCCCAAATATGGGCTCTGGTCTTGCCCCTCTTCCCAAATTGCATTGTCTCCTTGGGTTATTTCATATATGCTAAGCACCAATTCCAAATTAATCTAAGTGCTGAACAATTCCAGTTGGATAGCCTGTTAGTACCTAACATTCTACATTTTCCAATCTGAAATATTATCTTTTAAATCCAGTTAGCTTCACATGTACCATGCCTACTATGGGGGGGGGTTCTTTTTGAGACAGGGTCTCCCTGTAGCCCTAGCTGGCCTGGAACTCACTATGTAGACCAGGTCTACCTCGAACTCATAGATCCGCTGCCTCTGCCTCCCAGGTGCTGGGACTAAAGGCATGCACCACCATGCCCGGCTCACTCCCACATTTTAAAACACCTCTAGTCTCCTTGTTCTCCAAGGTTAGAATGCTCAAGATGATTTGACCCATCTTCTCCCATATCTACCAATGCTAAGTCATACTAATTCACATCAACTCCGCCTCCATAGTCACATATAACTTCCATTCTCAATGTCCTTATTACCTTTCACCTCACTGTTGTAAGAGCCACCTAACTGGTGTTGAATTGTTCCTTTTTCCTATCCAGTCAAACTCTAACAAAAATAACTGTGATGAGGCAACTTCTTATTTTGTTTTCTTTTACGTGTACCAGTGTTCTGCCTGCAGATATGTAAGCATACCACATCTGTGCCTGAGGAGGGTGCTGGGTTCCCCTAGAACTGGAATTACAGAAGGCTGTGAGTCACTATGTGGGTGCTGGGAACAGAATCCAGGTCCTCTGTAAGAAAGTACTTTTTTTTTTTGGTCTTTTTGAGACAGGGTCTCCCTGTAGCTCTAGCTGTCCGGGAACTCACTATGTAGACCAGGCTGGCTTTGAACTCACAGAGATTTGCCTGCCTCTGCCTCCCAAGTGCTGGGACTACAGGTGTGCGCCAACACACCCGGCTTGCAAGAAAGTACTTTTAACCTCTGAGCAATCTCTCCAGTCCCTAGGCAACTTCTTAAAATGAAAATTAAAGCCTGGTACAGGGGTTCATGAGTGTAATCCTAGTACCCAGGAGGTAAGGCAGGAGGGATCACCAAAAATTTGAGGCTAACCTAGGTCATGCAGTGAATTCCAGGCCACTATGTGCTACAGATTGTACCTTGTGTTTAAAACAAATTTTTTTAGGAGGAAGGGGAGGGGGGAGAAATAGAGGAGATGGAGGAGGAAAATTAATGGCACATAGTTGCCTACAGAGAAGACCCAAATACTTAGCTTACTATTAACCCATGAAATAATCTAGCACCATCCTGTTGGTCCCATTATCTCCCACTAGGCCCATAATATGCATCCTATATGTGTCAGACTGCACTTTTCTCAAACGCTCACTATGCTTTTCTGTTGTCCCTCCTTTGTTCATCCTATATTCTCTGACTCAAAACTGTGGATTCTCAGTATTTATTAAAAGCTTCTTTCTCAAGATCCAACTGAAATCATTTCCTTGATCCCTTAACAACACATGCAAACTCTCACCAGAACTTCCAATGCTGATTTAAATTCTTCTATTGGTGCCAATACATTTCTGTCTCACACTATAGTCGCTTTTGTAAACAGTTCTATACGAGTCAGTCTCCTACAGGAGAGTAAGGATCCTGTAAAACCAGCACCCTGGAGCTGGAGAGATGGCTCAGCGGTTAAGAGCACTGACTGCTCTTGCAGAGGACCCGGGTTCGATTCCCAGCACCCACATGGTATGGTGGCTACGAACCATCCTTAACTCTCCAGTTCCAGGGGAATCTGAAGCCCTCTTCTGACCTCTGCGGAATTGCATGACACGGGTGCACTCACATACATGCAGGCAATACACTCGTACACATAAAACAAAAATAAATAAAATAATTAAAAAAAAAAACCAGCACCCTGAACACTGCATTGTATATAGCAAAAACAAGTATATTAGCTAAAACAAGGGAAAACTATACTTTATATATTCTAGAGTACACACAAAAACAACACACAAAGCAACAATATATGTTAACAATCACAACTTAATAAAACAATAAATTGTGATGAAAATCACAATTTTCTCAAAACTTTAGCGCCTAAAGATGATTCTAAATCATCTGAAATCTAAATGCTAACAAAATCACTTTACTTAACAGGAGGAAAAGATGGTGATTTTTAAAACGTGTGTGTGTATACCTTCTATGAGTCAGCAAATGGATGAAAAAGTGGCCATTCCAGGTGCTACAACTTTCACAGGGTCAACAATATACTTGCCGAGAAAAGTAGTTTCTCCAGCTAAGTACAAAAAAAAAAGTCTGCTTTTCTCAGGTTTCAAACAAACTTAATTGCTTGTAAAAACTGCTCAAAACAGAAACTGAAAGTAAAAATCTCTACATTTATAACAGCATTACTTAGTATTTCCAAGACCGGAAAGTTTAAAAAAGTAAAAATACAATCACACAAGCTTTGACTTTAGAAAACACTTGGCCTTCAACACAATCCTAAAATTAACTTGCTATAAACTTTTATAAAAGCCAGAAAAACTATAGTCAAGTGAAATCAGCATGATTATAAATCTGAGAACCACTGTAAATTCTGGTTTCTACAAACCCAGACTGCGGGCTTAGCTGAAACTGCCTTCGCGCTTTTGAATTAAAAAAAAAAAAAAAGCACTCCCCAGTACGTCTTAGTACAAACTCATTCAACGGTCTCGGTGCCTTTTTACTCAAGGCAGGGCATCCCACTTTCAAGCAGTCATAGTTAGCAGGCATGAACCCGGACGCAGGCTAAAGGTCGGAGTCAGGATCCCACAGCCTTCTCCCTCAGCACAAACCCGTGCTTCTCGCTTCCGCACGGTACTGGGACCCAGTGGTGACTCAGCTGCAGGACAAGCGCGTCCGATCGGCCGGACTCCAGCTCGGGGAAGGCGCCTCGGGAGCCAGAGAGTTCCAGGTCCGGCCAGACTAGGGTTCCCGGGGCGCCCCATGACACTGCAGAACCCCGGCCACGGCCGGCCCGCTCCGCGCACCCACATCCCGACCCAGCTGCTTCCCGCCATTCGAACCTGTCGTACTCGGACCGAGTGAGGAACATGTTGAGGACAGGAGGTAACGGCGGTGGCTACGCGGGGTTCCTAAGGGCCACACGACTACAGCAGCACCCAACTCAACCACACCGCCACAGCACCAAGGCCCCCTGCTCGCGTCTGCGCGTGCGCTCGCGACCTCTTCAGCCCGCCCTCCCGTGCCTCCTTCCTATTGGCTAGTCGCGGTTGTCGCCGCGGTGATTGGGCCAACGCGCTTCCTCGCCCGACCTCGGTAGACGCAGGGAGGGCGGGACCAGGGCGCCCTTCCGCTTTCTGTCGTCGGTGGTTGCTAGGGGCGCTGGAGCTCGGGCCAGTGCTGAGAGAGAACTGACTTTCTGAGGTGCGAGCCAGCCGCCGAGGACGGCGGGAAGACTACTGCGGTAGTCGGGATCTTGACCCAGGACCCAGAGATCGCAGCCGGAGGACGCGGATCTTACGTCCTCCTCGCGTTGCGTCTGCCCGGCTCTTCCGCTATACCCGCGTCTCCGGAACAGTCTTCTCCAGGCTTTGCACAGGCTTTGGGACTTGGGTAGAGTTGCGTGGTCTCTGTGAGTCTGAACCAGAGCGCCCGACGCTTCAGCCGACTTGCCTTGTTGCGGAGGAAGTTGGTAGGCTTTGACTCTGTGAGGAAATCTTCGAATTTCTGCATGGTTATGGTTCTTCTACCAGGTCTTCCTTGGATACACTCCCTCCCAACCTCCCTCCCTCCCTCCCTCCCTCCAGATTTCAGACCCGATGATCCAGAGCTCGGGAACCCAGGATTCAGATTGCCGATGGCTTTTTATGTTTTGTTGTTGTTTTGGTTTGGGTTTTTTTTTTTTTATTTTTTTTTTTTTTTTTTTTTTTTTTACCGCTGAATAATAAGTGCCTTCCCTTTTTCTGTGCTTTTTGTTATCTTTTCCTAAGGTTAAAAGAGTAACTTCAGAGCTTCATAGAAACATTGTAAATGAATTATGTAGCCAAGAAAGATAGGGAGTTAGGAAGTGGTGGTTTTCCAGGAATACAGATGTAACTCAGTCGTAAGGTGCTTATCTAGTGTGCACAAAGCTCTGGGTTCGATTTCCCAGCCCTGCTAAGAAACCAAAGTTATGGCGGGGCAGGGGTGATGACAGATGTTGGTCAAAGTACAGTTGGTCCTTAATCTCTTTTGGCCATACTTAGAGTGGCCTACTTGACTCTGGATTGGAGAAATTCTAAGAAACAATTCTTGTAGACCACTGCAAAGAGACTGCTAACCTTTTAGTTTTCTTGTCAGCTTTCCGACAAGATTTTGTTCGGCTTGTCAATAGCTTTTGATTGAAAAGTGTTGGTTCTAAATTCACAATAGGGATAATTTTACTATATAGATACTTAGATATAGAGCTTCCTGAACACTTAGGGATAAGAGGTGCTCTACTGCCTCTACCAGTATCAGATGCAGGGATGAATGGCTCATGGGATGTAACCCTTTGAGTAAATATGTTCATGTATAACAGAACTGCAGGGAACTCACACGTGGCTGCTTGTGGGTAAAAAGGGAAAGCTTATTTTCTCTTGAGCTCCAGGTTCAATAAGAGACTATCTAAAAAAAATAAAGTGGAAAGTGATAAAAAAAAAAAAACTAACATCTACTTCTGACCACTACATATATACACAAGCAAGTATACCTGCACATACATGTGCACACAGGCAGACATCATGCTCACGTGCAATTTCTTAAATATATAATGTCTTGCTTATAAATAAATACTCAGTATGTGCTTTCATTGAAAGTTAAGCCATGTGACCATCTGAGAAAAATAGTGTAAAATCCATAAGAAGACATAGAAAATTCTTATTCTTCATAAATAACAGAAAAAAATGACCAATCTGAATCCTGGGTCCTGAGCTCTGGATCATCAGGTCTGAAACTTGTGTGAGATGGTGGTATGTGTGTGAGTTCAAGGAAGATCCATAATCATGCAGAAACTTGAAGACTTTCTTGCAAACTAAAACCTTCCAACTTGAGGACCAGGAAGATAGCCCAGTGAGTAAAGGCCCCTCCCACCAAGCCTAATAACCTGAGTGATCCCCTGTCTCACAGAAATTGTCCTCTGACCTCCACAGGTGCACCGTGCCTGGTTACTTTTTATTGTCAACTTGACCAACCTAGAGTCACCTGAGAAGAGGGAACCTCAATTGAAGACCAGATTGGCCCATAGTTATGTCTGTGGGGCATTAACTTGATTGCTAATTGATATAGAAGCACCCAGCCTACTGTGGGTATACCAACTGTACCATCTCTAGACTGGTAGTAGTAGTCCTGGACTGTATAAGAAAGCCAGCCAAGCATGATCTGTGAATGAGCACCAAGCAGTATTCCTCCATGGGTTCTGCTTCAAATTTCTACTTAAGTTTCTGCCCTGACATCTCTCAAAGATGGATTTGACCTGGAAGTCTAAGCCAAATAAACCCTTTCCTTTACAAATTGATTTTGGTCAGAGTGTTTTATCACAGTGACGGAAAGCAAACTAGAATACATACCATGGCATGAACATACCTCAAAATAAATAAAATGTAATTTTAAAAATTGGTTTTTGTTTTTTTGGTTTTTTTTTTTTTTTTTTTGAGACAGGGTCTCCCTGTAGCCCCAGCTGTCCTGGAAATCACTATGTAGACCAGGCTGGCTTCAAACTAAAAAAGATCTGCCTGCCTCTGCCTCCCAAGTGCTGGGATTAAAGGCGTGCACCACCATGCCCAGCTTAAAAATTGTTTTTAATAAAAATCTACCAACTTTTCTCAGCAAGTCAGTTTAGCAGAAGTATTCAACACACTGGTTCAAACCCACTGTAGTGTACACACCGCTACCCCAAGGGGCAAAGAGGAGATGAGCAATGAAGAATTAGTGTTTAACAGGCACAAACACTGGAAAGATATGTAAACATCTTGAGGAACATAAATCCTTAAGCAAAATAATCTGTCAGAATGGCCAAGTAGGACTGAAGATTATGCACAAACTATTAAGAAGAATTCCTAATTTGCAAATGTTTCTGAATATACATAAACTAGAAATTATTACTTTCAAATGGCCTCTGGAAAGTATATTACTGTTCTGATAACTTGCAAAGAAATACAGAGGAAACAGAATGGGAAACTTTTCTAAAATTTTAACTGGGGCTAGAGACATGGCTCAGCAGTTAAGAGCACTGGCTGCTCTTGCAGAGGATCTGGGTTTGGTTCCCAGCACCACATGATGGTTAGCAACTATCCCTAACTCCAGTTCCAGGGGGAATCTGATGCTCTCCTCTTGCCTCCATGGGCATTGCATGCACAGGTGCACTTATATACATGCACATAAAATAAAAATAAAATTAAAAATTAATAAAATAGGGGCTGGAGAATGGTTAAGAGCACTGGTTACTCTTGCAGAAGACCCAGGTTCAAATCTCAGCACCCACGTGATGGCTAACAACCTCTCTTCTGGATTCTGCAGGCACTGCATGCATGTGGTGCACTTATATACACACAGGCAAAACACATGTACACATAAAGTAAAAATAATTTTAAAAATATTTTATGTGTATGTATGTATTGCCTTCATGTAGGTAAGTGCACCCATGTAGTGCAATGCTCGCAGAAGACCGAAGAGGCTGTCGGATCCCCTGGAACTGGAGTTACAGAGAGTTGTTAGTTGCCATGTGGGTGCTGGGATTTGAACCTGGGTCTTCTGCAAGAACAGTCAGTGTTCTTAACCGCTGAGCCATCTCTCTAGCCCATAAATAATTTTTTAAAGAAAAAAAAATAGACAAGCTTGTTAGTTGCAACTTTTCTAGGTGAAATGCTGAGAGAGAAGAGTACTGTTTCATGAAGAAATAAGTCATTTAGACATTAATGAAGGTCCTACATTCATCCATAGAATGACTGCAATTGAACATATTGGTACTTTTTGGACATTTTTGCAAAGGAAGTGGGGGATTGAAGGCTGTCATAATTATTTGAGAGATGAAACACAAAATCTGAACTGTTACAATAAAGCATATTTTTTAACTATAGGTTAAAACCCTTGTCATTCCACTGGAAGTAAGTAATTTCCCCTAGCTGTCCAATAAATATTAAAAATTAGTTACTCACAAGAAACATAGGATGACTTTCTGTCAGACATCCCTAGGATAATAGCAGGGAATATATGGGAAATTTTAAAAGTGATTTCAAACCAATTGAAGACTGCTTTCTCAATATTATGCTCTGCAAATCCATCTGTCCACATTTATCTCTAGCAGCTACAATTTGTTATTTACATAAAAAGGCATTTAAAATTTGGCTGCTTCCCTGTATGAGATTTTTTTGCCTCAATCATTTTGTAGGAATATTTTAAAATAACCATCTTTTATGCAAGGATATTGAGTTTTAGCTAGTTTTGATTCTTGTAAGTGCCTTCAGAAATAGTAATTGGTAGTCCTGGCCACTGAACCTAGCAGTAAAACTCATACAGACTCATTCCATAATTTGGGATTCCTGTAATGAGTGGTCTTTGCTTGAAGACAAATCATCAACTTAGTTACTGCCTACCCATTGCTTTCTTTTCTCTCTCCACATGGGTCAGACTTGGGTCATAGTCTGCAGGCTCCTGTATCTTTGGTTCCCTTCCCTTTTATCTTGCATAGTTGTTTTGTCTAGTATATGTCTTACAAGTTGTTATGGACTGAACTATGTCCTCAAAATTTAGATGTTGAAACCCTAACCCTCATTACCTCAGAATGGGACTGCATAAGGCTTTCAAATGAGGCTATTAGGGTGGCCCTTATGCCCTCCAGCTGATGTCTATAAAAAGAGGAAATTTAGACACACAGAGACTCTGAGAACAGATGCACACAGAGAAAAGGCCATGTGAGCATTCTAAGAGAAGGTGGCTCTCTAGAAACTACCAAGAGAGTCCTCAGAAGAAAGCAGACCCATCAACACCCTGATCTTGGACTTCTAGCCTGCAGAACTATAACAAATGTTTGCTTCTCAGAGTACCTAGACTAACACAAGTGGTAGGAGAGAGCCAAGAAAACAGAATATGTGGTTTGGGGGCTGCTTCACTCCTGGTAGGCAAAATGGATGCCATGCTGAGGAGTAGAGGATCATGAGTAGTTCCTAGAACAGGAGGTGATCCAATTGCTAAAGATTTCATCATTGGTGAACTGGGAAAAAATATCCCACTAAGGGAAAGCCCTTGTAAATATAATTTCAGGAATTTGAAATATATGGGAAGAAAATACCTCTAAGGACATTGGAGTTGTCTGGTTACTGCTAGTCACACTCTGAAGAAAGTTAGTGGGAAAGTCAGAATCTCTTTTGATGAAGAGCAATGGACTCAGGACAAGATAGT